GCAGTTTAAGCCATCGAAAACAGCTGCAGTGAGTACTGGGGTTGTTACCATCTTCCACCACAATGCTCTACAAGTCTGAGCTGCTTTAGGTTTTCAACCAGGCAACCCCAAATTCTTTTCTGCATGCTGCACATAGTTTCTGTATATATCATACACAAATTGTCTCAGATACTTTTTGCACACACCAAGCCTAAGGTTTCTCTTAGAAAAGCTCATCACAGAGTAGGATGGCTTATAGAATAGACCAGACTATTTCAGTTGGAAGGGACCTACAACAATCATCTACCTGCCTGACCACTTCAGGGCTGCCCAAAAGTTAAAGCATGTTGTTAAAGGAATTGTCCAAATGCCTCTTAAACACTGACAGGCTTGGGGCATCGACCACCTCTCTAGGAAGGGAAGCCTGTTCCAGTGTTTGGCCACCCTCTCGGTAACGAAACACTTCCTAATGTCCAGTCTAAACCTCCCCTGGTGCAGCTTCGAACCATTCCCATGTGTCCTATCACCGGATCCCAGGGAGAAGAGATCAGCAGCTCCCTCTCCACGTCCCCTTCTCAGGAAGCTGTAGAGAGCAATGAGGTTGCCCCTCAGCCTCCTTTTCTCCAAACTAGACAAGCCCAAAGCCCTTAGCCACTCCTCACAGGACATGCCTTCCAGCCCTTTCACCAGCTTTGTTGCCCTCCTCTGGAGACAATCAAGGACCTTCACATCTTCTTAAATTGTGGGTCCCAGAACTGCACGCAGTACTCAAAGCGAGTCTGCACCAACGCTGAATACAGCAGGATGATCACCTGTTTTGACAGCTGGTGATGCTGTGTTTGATGAACCCCAGGATGTGGTTTGCCCTCGCGGCTGCCAGGGCACGCTGCTGACTCACACTGAGCCTGCTGTCGACCAGCACCCCCAGATCCCTTCCTGCAGGGCTGCTCTCCAGCCACTCCTCTCCCAGTTTATACTTGTATACTTTAAGCTTGGTACTTATCATGTCTCACTAGCCTTCACGAGGTACAAATTGAGCTTCTTCCTGGAATTAGACCAAAGCTGCCCCCAAACAGAATGGGTTAATCAGATTAGGAAGTTGGAGCAGTTGGATGTGAATGGATGCATTGTCCTTCAGTGTCCTCCCGCAACAGCAAAAGGTTTGCCTTAGACATAATAGCCTGACGCAACACTAAGGCTCAGAAAGCCCAGCATATTTGTAAATATACAATAATGGATCAAAAGGGGATTTCAACTTGTTGTTATTATTAGGCCTTTATAAAATTAAATGTGGCTTTTGTTTTGCTACTTGACAAAAAAAAAAAAATCGCCAGCATGCTCAGTGGTATGTTTCAAAATCGACACATTATTAGCTCTTCTAGAACTGCATGCAGAGGCTGATAACACCCTCGGTTAAAACAGATACATTTTGAATTTAATCTGAGGTAAACAGTATATCAGCTTTACTTCTGAGAGATGAGAAGACCTTTTGTAAAAAGGCAACAAAGCACTACTTCTCAGTGTTCTGCTTAACCTTTAAATCTTTTAAGTGTTTTTTTATCAGTACAGGTACAGTGTAGCAACAAATAAAATCAGTGTCTCTTCTCATCTACGTCCTAAGACTGCTGTTTCTTATAATTAATATTTTATAAATTGTGAAGATACATTTTTAAAGCAATTTGATCCAGGTCCTCTTCGTGGCATCTGTTCCTTTGAAATGCACTTTTTCTTAGAAAGAGGTGTCTTTCTCCATCTTCAGGACTGTACTTGGATGCTGTGATAGTTTTCTCACGTCAGCTCAGTCATATTCCATTGACTTGCGTTTTATAATGTAAAATGAATGTATACTTCCTTTTGGATTACAAAAGGAAGATAATACAACACAGTTGCAATGCTGTTGCCTCCAATGAGATAACATTTGCAATCCCAGGGATAACAATACCTGCTAGGGGCATGTAACCTCCTCTCATTTCTGTATTGATAATACAGGACTTTTACTAGCCTTCCTATCTGTTTCATACAGAATTTGCAGTGACAGCTTTCTAGATTCCATGGGAACTAGTGGTAAAAGCTCATTTATAACCACTGACAATTTGGACAACTGCCTCAAAACCAGAGGGTGGCAAAAGCTCATTTATAAACAGTAACAATTTGGATTACTGCCTCAAAACCAAAAGGGGAGAAAGGTTATTCATAAAATCATGGAAGGGACAAATAGGAGACCAGTGAGCTAACCCGCTCAGTAACTTAGATATTTATACACTATTACAAGAAGCAAAAGGTAACACACACAGCTAGATTATTAATATAAGAAGGAATGGCATGTTCAGGAAGGACAGGTAAGGAATGCAAGTCAACACGAACAGATGAAAAATCCTGTACTTCAAAGGAATGATCAAGTGCACAGATATAGTATGAGACTGTCTAAATTGGCAACAGTACAGAAAAAGATCTGGATGTTAGTGTGTGTCTCATGATAAATATATTTCAATAGTGTCATGATGGTGAGGATTTAAAAAAAAAAAAAAAAAAGAAAGAGAGTAACACAAAAGGAATACTGTCTCCGAGATACATGAAACCATTATTTCAATTTCTACAGCACAGCACTCAGATACAGTGCAGTATCCAGTCTGGCATTTCAAAGATGATGGGTACCAATTAGAAAGGTTCCAGAGCAAAACAGTGAACAGGATCTGAAAGTAGAAAACTCAAAGGGAAAGGGATTATTTAGTTTAGCAGGGAAAGCAAGGACAAATATGGCAGCCGTATTCAAATATAGGACAGCTAAAAAGGAGAACTTCCTCATATGCATTAGAAACAGATAAAGGAGTAATGGATTAGGCAATATAAAGGCTGATTTAGGTTAGACAAAAAACGAAAAATAAGATTATTTAAGCTCTGAAATAGAAAGCTTGGGTAAGTCATGAAATCACTATCCACAGGAACTGCACAGGTATAGCTGAGTCTGCCTTCAGGCAGGGAGGACAGACCAGGTGACTGACTGCTCAAAGACCTTTCTTGCCCTGTTTCTATGATTTCTGTGATTATATTCTGCCTCTAGCTCCCTCAAGAATGGAAATGTAATGTGATGTAGCTCTGTCCTTACATGTAACGGTAGGCAAAAATGACAAGTAACGTGTATAAGTGCAAAGAAAGCTACACAAAGAAATACAGTAACTGATACAATCAAACTCTCCAAACATTGCAATATACATCCACTTTCCCCCCCATCAATACCTCTAGCATTTATAAATTATCTGATAAATTAACATTAGTTTAAATCTCTTGACCAAATATCAGTGCGATCCTGTATATTCCTTGAGCAGACAGTAGATAAAGGAAGACAGATCTGCCTTTTTAATTGAATTTAAAACATGTTTTAAGTTAATGAAATTAATGAAAAAAAAAGTTTCAATTCATTTATTTTTCCTACCCATAACAAAATAAACCTCAAAACCATAAGATATTCCAAATACTCTCCTTCAACCCTTTCAATTTCTAGCAGACTTGAAAGGATCTACCATGGAAGAAATAAAGGTAATACCTGTGACAAAGCTACAGATTTTAATGCTATAACAAAACATTGCAACCACTTCATCTTACCTAACACTCATGCAATTTCTCCCCTACTGTAAGTAATATCAGAGGTACCACAATCCTTAGCACTGTGTCCCACCGATTTATTTTTCCATCAACAAGAAAAACTGCATCTTGGTTTCATTTAGACTTTTTTACTTTAGTCATGTATTTCACTGTAATTATTTCCAGACTATGACTCTGCAACATTAGTAGGCAGGTAGATAGATTTGGGCACTCAAGAATCAGAGATAAAAGAATTGTATTAGTCACCCACAGCCACATCCCTTCCCTTTTTCCTAAATGAGAGCAATATATATTACATATATTACATGTATGTAATATGAATGTATCTAAAGGCATGACACAGACTAGTTTATTTTGTCAAACATCAAATGAGAAATTCACTTATTCTGTCATAAAGATTTTAAAATACAAAAATAACCACAGAAAAATCATAGCTCTAAGTCCCCTACAAATTTGGCCTCAGAAAAAGGGAGCCTACAAACTTTATTTTTCAATCTAAATTAAGGTTGTGTGCTTTAAAGGATTTTTGTTCCAGGAATTTAAAAAATGGTTCTTTCATTCCTTCTGAAACTTCTTATCCATCTCATTATAACTCAAGAATATGCTTCATATTCAAACTATAGCACAAAAAAAAAGTTATGCCTAGAACATTTGCCATTTATGTTTTTGTCTTAATATATTTTAGTTATTTAAGTATACTCATTCTTAATAAAATTTCTGATTGTATTACTTAAAAGAAAAATTATTTAGCATTAAAACTGTGTTGTTCTTTTTAACATCTTGTAAACACTAATTGATCCTCATAACAGTCCCATAAGGTAAGAAGGTGCTATTATCCCAGTTTTATCCAGAGGGAAAACTGAGGTAAGGAAGCTTAACCACTTGCCCAGTCTCACATCTTGTGTCACTCAGGCTTGAAATCAGACCATGATCCTGTACCTCAGGCATACCGTGTAATTTTAAAAGTCTTTGTAGGATTTAGGCATCTGTCTCAAAGCAACTGCCTTACCATTCCTTTGGGAGATTATGTTATATCAGAAAGCGCTAGATCTGTGCTCCCTGGAAGCCTATGTATGATTACGTATTTGCCTTTAAAACATTTCAAAACACAGATAAGGCGAAAAACCAAAAAATGTCAGTAGATACGTAATGCATCATCACATCCAAAACAATTACCTAACAAGCTGTCAGGTGCAGATTTACAGTGAGACAAGAAAAATTAAAGTTGTCTTGAACATTTTTGACAGTGCAGTATCTTTGCTCAACCAGTCCTATGATAGAGAATGTTAAAAGTACCTCAGAGAAATATAAAATTGTGTTGGCACAGCTGATTTTGAAGGGCTTTCTCTGTCTCTTGTCTTTCTATTCCAGTTCCCTCACTTCCTCTACATCTGTCATGCTTAAAGCAACTGTAAGACATACCTTAATTGTACTAGTGTGTGCACCGGGATATTCTTTTTCCTCCAGTGTTGACCAACGTTGTATAAATTTTGACACCAGAGGATCATCATAGTCAACTATCTGAAATCCTGAGACGTTAGCTCCTCCGAACTGAATTTTTGATAAATCTCCATCAGTAAATCCCTGGGCACAGAAAACGTTATGTCTGTTATTCCAACAGTTTTGGCATATCTTGCAATAGTATATACAAATAAAGAGTTACCATGTGACTTCTACTGCAGGAGTGTAAGCCAACATTTTCCTTCAAACAGGATCCAAATTTAAATCCTGGGCTGCCAGCACTAAGTCGTCAGCTCCGCCAGCCAGCAATGCCTCTTGTTGCTCACTAGACATACACCTTTATAGAGCAAGGGCTGAGTGGACCTCTCCGTGCCATACTTACTTTCCTAAACAATCCCGTTAATTTCAATGGGACTGCTTAAATGAGAAAAGGGAACACTGACATGAACAACAGTTAGGCAAGCAAGTTTTAGCTAGGAATAGTTACAGCCACAGTTGAGTCCTCTTTTTGCTAGCAATACTAAAGTATGTGGAAGGACTTACCATCTCCCCTGCCTCCTCCCTCTGGTATAAGGAACTACTTCTCATTCTTACAAAGAGTACCTATGTTTTGTTTTCCATGTTCTGTGCTTTAACTTGCCCCAAATAACCATACAAATGAGTTTACATGAAATACTGATTTCAGACACTTCAGTTTAAATGAATGCTCTGAGTAAACAAAAAAAGTAGCAGCAACCTCAGACCACATTATCAGACATTGCTACAAGTGCAGTACTAGGTGCTCTTTAATAACTGCATACTAATGACACTCATCAATGATTTGTTGCTGCATGCTAATACAGACACTTCTACAGGGATCATGAAACTTTCTTCAATATTATCGTGAGCTTGAAGTTTGAACAGGAACATTCATTGTGTACTTTGACCCCTTCTCCATCTATCACTATGTTTTATTCTTAAAACAGATCAATTTCTTGACTGATCATACTGGAGGAGAACATTACTACAGTCAAGAAAAGAAGAAAGAAAGAAGGTGGATTCAGTGAAGAAGATGGGATATGATCAAGTACTAGATAAGTTTTCTTTCTGACAGCAAAACCCACAGTTTTAAAATCATTACCATATATATTTTATATGATATGATACAAAAGATCTACAATATTTGAATTTAAACTATATAAATCTGTAGGAAGCAAATATGAAACAGCTTTAAAATACAAGATTCAGTAAGTTTTAGATCTTATGGGCTTACTGTTACAAACTTAAACCAATGGCTAAAATAGCAACCAGTCAACAACAGGCAATTTTTCTAAAATGTTTATCTCCCTTAAGGCTCAAAATACTGTTTATACAACATTTGCAATGCAAAATACAAATATCTAACAGTTAGGGAATTTTTCAATTTTTGTAAGACTTTTATGCTTGCTTTGTGAATATCAGTACCCTAACTTCTTCATCCTAAAAATTAGTTAATAAATACAAAAATGAAACCTTGCTGTTCTGCTTTTAAAAAGGCCTTTAGAATATAAGGCTTCCTTGCACCTGTCTAACGTATGTGATTCTTCAGAATACTGCCTGCCTGGAGGGGGGGAGTGTTTTGATCAAAGGTTGGGAGAAGACAGGGGTTCTATCTGAAGTCTGATAGACCCAGTATGGTTGTTCTGTTTCCTTGGGCCCCTCAAAGGGCTATGGAAGACAGAGTGTAAATTAGAGCACTCTGGGCCCTGCTAGAATTTATATCAAACACTATCACAGTCCAAGAATAAGTGATGAAAATAATTATTTAGAGGCACTCACACTATGCAAACCCCAAAACTCTTTTCTGGAACAGAGTAACTGAGATTCAAGCCTGCAGAATTTGCTTTATCTGTTACAAAAAGCCGTTGGATTAGATTCCCTAGCGTCAGTAAATAAGTGTTGTTAACTTTCATGTCAGCAAAACAGACCTTCATCTCTTTAGACACAATTTCAAAAAAAATCACCTTGACAGAATTTAGTAAGTTTCCTGAACTTTCCCCCTCAGGAACACTATTAGCTGTACTGTCTGATCACCTATGTTCAAGAAAAGATTAATTCAAACTGATTACCAAGCCAATGTGAGGAATGAAGATGTATAAAGCTGAGACTCACTAGTCTAGCAGAATGAAAGCTGAGAACTGTAATTTTTAGGTACTTTAGAGGTGAGAGAAGAGACATCAGTTTGCTGAATGAACGTATCAGCCTATAATGTGGAAAGTTATTTTTCTGATTGCCAAAGTGTGTAGAAAAAGGAATGAAGCTCTACTGAAGGTGCTGAGCAACCTTCACTCCTATTGATGGGAGTATCACAGGAGGTGTTTAACCCCTGAAAAGACTCACCCAATAAAACAAATACGATCTCAACATATGCATTCATTTAGCAAGGATAAAGACATTTAGCTTTTTTCTATTTTCTAAAATGCATTTAAAACAACATACTAGTTGATGTGCTTCCATAAACAGTCAAATGAGTAATACAGGTATTTTAAATACTAAAAATGCTTACCAGATTTGCAATGATATAATGGTATCCTTTAACATGTTTACCAATTGTGATAACCTGTAAAAAAGAAGAAATACCCCCATAGTTGAGAATGTTTACCTGACATATAGACTGAGACTTAAAAATACAAAATGCAGTATGATGTAAAAGCTAGTTATGAGGTTTATTGCATGCAATACTGAGTTTGTTCAGTGCTTTACTTTTTATTTTACCTAATGGACCATTGAACATACTCTCTGCTGGTGGAAATTAGCCATGCTGAAGTCCAAGTCCCAAGATCTGTAAACAGAGTAGCTGAATACTAATGACTATACTGTGTATTAAAGGCATAACCCGGACAGGAGGGAGCAGGCATCAAGGAGTAGAAGCACTGTGCCTCAGAGATTCCTACTTAGATTCTGCTCCCTTTGCAGCAGAATTATAACGTTCCTTGAACTAGAAAAAGTTTAAAAGCCCACTGACATTAATGAAAGCATCTACATTGTGAGGAAGTCTTTTAAAGTTCAAATTGTTGTTTATTGCCTTAAGGCTTCCTCATAATCTCCCTGAAAGCCAGTTCGTGGTTTCTCAGCAGTCTCCACTGGCGGGCATGTAGCATGGATTCTTCTCCCAAATAAGCCTAATTAAGACTATGTCTGCATGGGGAAGTTTGCATTTTGAGGCAAAACACTTCTCCAGAGAAATTATGTGGGAGATAAGAGGACTCCAGAGGTTTCTTCCATCTTTTGATCAATGAGAATAACTTAAAACAAGAGAGGATGATCCATTTATTACCCCTTTTAACATATAACTATTCAGAATAAGTATCCTGTGACTTATATCAGGCTAGTAGTGAACGACATTCCACACACTTGCTTTAATGAAGTTATAGGAATATACCTGAAGGCAGCGTTTAACACTAAGTTTTATGTTACTACAGTTTGAGACCGAGAGGGATCACATTACATAGGCCATAGAAGTTATTCAATTATTCCTCTTTTGAGCTTAATATATACATGATAGATGAACTTAATTATTCTAAAACAGTTACTTGGTTCAAACTACTTAAAACTCATTACTTATTAAAAGGTTTAAGAACTGTATTCAGATGTATTCCTTATGCAGCTGCTCCTTCCAAAGAAATTTCAGTTAGACCGAACAGATTAGATCTTCTGCATAAAATGCTTCTTTATCATTGGTATCTGAGAAAATGACCAGTAGCTGCAAGTCTTTAGATCAATGGTTAGTAACTCTGCTCTAACTGCCACTGGGTACTACTTCATTAATCTAGCTTCCTAAAACATTGCTCTGTGCCACTCATCCATATGAACACTAAGGATGTTGCCAGTTAAACCTCAGAGAACATTCAGCGGTGGCTCCAAATGCCATGATGAAGGAGCTGTGGACACAAAAGGTATTCGCCAGTGTCCCTAGTTTAGACTAACATCTCAAGCAGGGACAGACAAGAGGCGGCAGTAATTCCACATCTGCCTGAAGGGTGTTATCGAGGGGAAATGAGATTCCACAAAGGAAGCTGGCTGAGAAGAGATAAAGGCTATATAATGAAAAGCATGGTAACACTGACCTACCAAATCAGAGAAGAGGAATATAAACTAGCCTTAGGAGAACTGGGGAACCAAAATATTTTTCATTTTCAACTTATATAAGTGAGTGAAGTCTGGAAGAGAAACTATAACATGAGACAAAAACAAGAACGATGAAGCAACTTTGCAAAACACATCATGTATCTACACAAAGATTCAAGGACTACAGAGTGTAACTGGGTGAACCCGAGGCTGCCACCACAACTTAGAAAGTTAATGGGATAAATCAAAGCACTACAACAGAAGCTTTGTTCAAGAATGGAAAGCAAGGAAGAAAGTAAATAAGTTGCTGCTCTGTATATCAAGAATGCAAGTAATACTTCAGTATTCAAGAAAAATCTGGTCAACAGAAAGCCTGTTGTATGTCTCAGTAAAAATACACAGAAAAAGAAAAGGGATACTGATACAAAAGGTCTACTTCAGACATCCTGATGAAAAGAAGGAAATTGCTGAGGGTTGTTTGGAGGCAAGAATTAAAAGAATTTTTTAAAGAACAGATCTGGTAGCAAAGCAAGACTTGAAGTACATATTCTGCTTTTAGAAAAGAAAATTGGAAGAACACACTCAAAGGATACTCACAGGCCAAGAAATCCTTTGTTCAGCATAGACCTTCATTTTAAGAGATGGAGAAAATTAATAAAGAAACGGTGATTTTAGATTTTATTTTAGGCTACGTGAGAAATTGGAAGTGGGCTTACCTTTTTATGTAAGGAAGGGAAGTTACAGAAACAGAATGTAAGGATAATGGCCTTAAAAACCAGACCAAACTCCAGAAACTGCTAGGGTATCTAGAGGATCTCAAGGCTAAAACCAAACTCCAGAAACTGCTAGGGTATCTAGAGGATCTCAAGGCTAAAACCATGAGACAGCTGACAGCAGCTTAAGAGACCATATTCTAGGGCATAGCAGAAAACTGTTTTGAGGAGAACAACTAACTGGAATTATATATTAACTGACCTGTGTGGCTGATCCACAGTTATCTAGAATTCTTCAGTGACTTATAAATCAAACCAGCAGGAGCGAAAGTTTATCCACCTGTATGCTGAAGGAGTAGTACAAGTCTGTGGGGATAAGCTGAAAAAATCTAAGACTCAAAACAAGGCAGAATCTATTGAAGTGCAATCAGGGCAAGAAAAATATCCCAGAGCTGCAATCAAAATAAGAGAAGCCAAAGAAAATAATAGGTCTATTACTAAACAAAGATAGTAAAAATGAGTGGTAAATAAAGGGTAAACAGGGTTCTTGTCTTTAAAAAGTGGTAAAAGGAGAAACTGAAGAAACTTACAGTCAGCCAAACTTCCATATCAGGCAAGAGATTATAATGAATATTACAGATTTAATGTCAAAAGAATGTATAGGATAATAAGATGATAAACAGTCAATATAGTCTTGTCAAGATCAAAATATGTCAAAGCAATTTCTTTCTTTTCTCTGACACGATAGCTAGCCTAATAATGAGGAAACAGCAGATGTGACATATCTTGAGTCCAATATGGCTTTTGTCCTGTATAACAAAAGCTCTTAAGGGAACATGGACAAGACAAAAAGTCACTGTAAGGTAAGCAAACAAACATTTGAAAAGCCACACAGAACCAGCTGACGAGGATGTATAAGTACTACTTCTCTCAAGCATTGCTCTACTCAGCACTTTTCTTGACATGGATAACAAGCCAGAAAATATGATTTTAAAAAACTGCAGATGATAGGGAGATGGCAAATGCTCTGGAGAACAGGATCAAATTCAAATTGATCTTCAAAATTAGAGAAACAGTTTGTGGATACGAATTCTAAATAAGACAGACAAATACAATGCACTCCATTTAGGACACTGCTCATTGCCTAAGCCTCTCCAAAACATAACAACCTTCATAACAAAGACCAAAATAACAAGCCCTTCAAAAAAGCTTCAAAACAG